TTGATGTGTCATCCAAAGGATGTCCTAAACAAAAAGCATGAACTGATCTTTGCCAGAATTTAAGAAAAATAATTCACTACACTCACCCATTTTAAGCAGATCTATATGATTTGCTAGTCGTCCAGATGAGTTACGAGACTTCAGTCCCATTAATAATTGCCATAGCCTAGATAGAATAAGTGAAAATCAAATCCACCTTGCGAGACTCAAATTCTCACCTATTCATACACGCAGACGAGGTTGCCAGAAGCATCACAGTATCCGAGTTGCGAATCTGTTCCTCAAATGCAACTAATGACCACACATTTTCATCGCTTGGGAACCGCACTGAAATCCGTCAATTAATTCATGGCAACTAGCTACTAACAAACTTTGAAAATGGCAAAAATCCTGCTTTAGCCTGCATGAATTCTTACACTTACCCGCATTCTTACACAATGCAGAGAATGCAGAAGACTCGAAAGCAGCGTTGATCGAAGATAACATAAAGGATTGTGCCTGAAAATTCGTTATGTTTTGGAAAAGTCAAATGTTCCTGCTCCAAGGATAGCTCGCTTGAGGTCTTAAAAAACATAGAAATTGTCGAGGAAATCTAGACATACATAAATTCGACATTCAGAGAACTATACTATTGAGCGTGCTAGCTAAGCTTCAACTCACTTTAAAATTCAAATAAAGGTGAATAAATATGTAAAAAGCGACTACTTAAAAATTAAAATCAATCAAAGCTTGAAATGGAAAAAAATTCTTGAACTGAGACTATTCTCACCTCCTGATCAGTCATTGCATGAAGCTTGCCTTCAGATTCCAGCAAGTGCATAGCCCGCTTATATTCAGCACAATTCGACAATAGTTGGAATTTGTCCTCATCCGACACTAAAATCTCACAATATATACCAATTCACGTCTTCAAGACTGTGTTGATTATAATAAAACTCGTTTAATCATGGTTTGATCCATTCATCAATTTCTTAAGTCATTTTTTCTCAAAACAATCCACATTTTTTGGTTGAGAAAATTACCCTCAGAATGTTCACAGATCCCTAGCAGTAAGCCTAAAAAGTATGTAGAAGCGATTCCAGCAG